GGCCGATCAGAAGAGCCAAGGAGCTCAGAGGAGCGTGAAGCAGGGGAGATATAACTGGCTGTATATTCACCTGATCTCTAGCTTCCTATGGAGTTGCATACTTTGGTTTAGTTTACAGTTGTTCAAAGGGACACCAGTGAGCAGTTCCAACACTGATACAACTAGGGTAGATGTACAGTATAAAAAAGTGGTTATAACAAAGTCAGAATTAAACCCCATGAATTAATGGTGCCTAAAGCTGGGTCCTGGACTTCCACCAAGTTGTAAAACTTCTCTGAAAGATTTCTCTTTATTCAGGACAACAGTTTTATGTACCAAGATGCAGATCTCAATGTTTTTAATCTCCTTTCCAATATAAGTTAGTGAACAAATTATATTGTACTACTTGCCTTGGGTGCTTTTGAACCTTTATAAATTCTCCAATTCTGCTCCAGTCAAAACAGCAGCATTGAAAGGTTGTATTTGGGGGGATTTTTTTTGTTTGCTTTTTTGTAAGAGGGTGGGTGGATGGATATTAACTTTTACTCTAAGATTATGTTCCCAGTGTTGGGTTTTATTTTTGTTTGGGATCCTAGGAGTTGATTACAGTGGGAGCATTTAGACAGGAACGTGTGCTGGAGAAAGCGGAAATGTCTTTTTACAGTGCCTATTTAGACTTGGAAATTGAACAGCTGTTGCATTACATCTTTTTTATTTCTACTTAAATTTTGAAATCAAAGCCAGTCCCATATCTGTACCATTTGATTGGTATGTGTTCAATATATTTGTTTTTTTCCAGAAGGACTCTTTCTGCTTTTTCTTGTGGAGTACATCTTTAATTGTATTAAAACAAACAAAACAAACCAGCAACAACAAACAAAAATTAAGAACAAAAGAAATAAAAAAAATATAAAAGAAACCATATTGTCCAATAACTTAACAAGGATATACTGGTCTGTTAAGGTGGTAAACTAGCAGTTTAAAAATACCTGATTAATAGAGTTTTTAACATACAGATGCGTGTTAGGAGAAGCAGTCATTCTGCTTACAATCGGATTATACTAAAATCTTCAAAAGCAGAAACATGTGGAATCAGAATCATAGAACAGTTTGGGTTGGAAGGGACCTTAAAGATCATCCAGTTCCAATCCCCTTACTGTGGTCAGGGACGCCTTTCTCTAGTCCAGGTTGCTCAGAGCCCCATCCAGCCTGGCTTTGAACAGTTTCAAGGGTGGGGCATCCACAGTTTCTGGGGGCAACCCCACACCACCCTCACTGCAAAGAATTGATTCCTAATATGCAGTCTAAATCTACCCTCTTTCAATTCAAAGCCATTTCCCCTTGTCCTAACACTACATGCCTTTGTAAAAAGTCCTTCTCCATTTGTAGGCTCCCTTTAAGTACTAGAACATGCTATAAGATCTCTCCAGAGCCTTTTCTTCAGGCTGAGCCACCTGAACTGTCACCCTTATAGGAGAAGTGCTTAATCCCTCTGATCTTCTTTATGGCCTCCTGTGGGCCCACTCCTGTAGGTCCATGTCCTTCCTGTGCTGAGGATCCCAGAGCTGGATGCAGCATTGCAGGTGGGGTCAGTGGGGGTCCCACCAGAGCAAAGCAGAGGGGCAGAATCCCTTCTCTCACCCTCTTGTCCACACTGCTTTGGGTGTAGTCCAGGGCATGTTTGGCTTTCTGGGCTGTGAATGCACATTGCTGGGTCATATCCACCCCTAATTCGGCCCCAAGTCCTCGTCAGGGCTGCTCTCCATCTCTTCATCCTTCAGCCTGGATCTGTGCTTGAGATTGCCCCGACCCAGGTGTATCCCGTTGCACTTGGCCTTGTTGAACTTCTTGAGCTTCACACAGACCCACCCCTCAAGCCTGTTGAGGTCCCTGTGGATGGTATCCCTTTCCTCCAGTGCATTGACTGCACCAACTTGCTGAGGGTGCCCTTGGTCTGAAGGGGTTGCTGTCCATTCTCTTGGATTAAAAGTGCTTTTGGGGTATTTAAACTACTTGGATACACCCTACTCCTACACAGAAGAATTTAGATATTGGTAAATTTTGCTCCTTGTGCTCACACTACTGAGTTATATAATAGTGATGCTTAAGAGCAGTGTTTGCAATGATTTGTTGGCATTTCCAGCAGGTTCTGCAGCCTCTGTCTCTCCTTAGTGCAAGTGCCTACGAAGGCCCGCTAACATCATTGTGTAATACCATTCACTCTGGGCATTCATACTCAGTGTTGTTTCTGTCGCATCTTCCATATGGTCAGAGTACATGGGTGATAATTCTAACTCTGAAGATAATTTAGCAGTGTATTGACTGGCAGTGAAAGCTGTAAACAGGACCTTTACACCTCTGCAAGGACTTGGATCCAGCATTGCACATTCCACTTTGAATTCACATCATTTTAAGCTGCCAAAGTGATGATGACTAACTACTTAACCCTTTTTTTATTTATCCACTGGAATTCTGAGCATGAGTTTGCTTCCTGGGACAGTTTCTTGATTTCATTTCTGGATGGTCCAGGTGGTTGATGAATGGAAGTTACCGGTGTTTGTCCATCTGCTACAGCCAGAGTGTAAGTGCTTGAAGATACCTATCATCACATAGTTGTTAATGGAATTCTAGTGGTGTTACAAAAGGTGACCGGTCATTTCTAGATATATCTTACATAGCACAAGTGCCAGTGATTCCTGCGGAATTCCTTTCTGGAATGATATTCCAGAAATATACTAAGGACCTGTCTCCCTCTGCTGCCAGCAACTAGAAATTTTGTATGGTATAAAGGGAGAGGAAGGGAGGGTGGGTGAAATTTGCATACTGTGATAAAACAGTGCCTAGACTCCACACTAGCAAATTCTGGATGATATGCTATCCATTTTACACATGGCTTTTAAATTTAATTACAAAAGGGGGATTGGGTTTGGGCCTTTCCTTATGTAGAGGGAGTACCACACTAAATGTTAAGCAAAAAGGTATCTCTGATTCCCTCAAAAAATAAACTGAATTACTTGTGGAAATACAGGACTGAAGTGCAGTTGGGAAGAAAAAAAACAGTGTGACTGATGAAACACACTTAGGATGCAAAATATTTGGACAATCTATCAGAAGAGGAGAGTTGTGCCTAAATACGGATCTTCCACTCATCAGAACCCAATGACCTTAATTTCCAGGAGTGCAAAATTGAGGTATTCATCACCTGTAAATTTCCTGCTGGACAGCTGAATAGTGGTATGGACTGACCTTAGTCTTCATGCTTAAATAGATTATGAAATGGAGCTCTTGAAGGAACCTCAAGGTGCTGTAGCTGAGCATCAACTTTTGAGATCATGGAAATTTTTCTGATGCAGTTGTAGCTCCATAGCAGTTTTTGTACATCTTCAACTTGATAAAATGAGCAGAAAAAGTAAATTACCTAACTGATCTAAAGCATTTGAACCTCAGTGCACCTGCAAGCATCATTCCCATATCTCATAATCAGTCCAGATTAGTCATGGGAGTGCAAAACAAAAAGATGATAAGGAGCTGGAGAATGGCACATTACCAGGAATGAGATCCTCTCCTGAACATGGAATTGTAGAATTGGTTACCGTGAAAAAGCCCATCAAGAACGTTACATCCACCTATTAACCCAGCACTGCCCAGCCTACCACTAAACCACATCCCCAAGTGCCATCTTCATGCCTTCTAAGTACCCCTATGGATGGCAACTCAGCCACTTCCCTGGGCAGTCTGGCCCAGTGCCACCACAGCCTGTGTGTTGCTTTTCCCACTGCAACAGGAGGAACCACATGGTAAAATGGTGACATTTCCAAGCAGAGGTGCTTGGCCCAGTGCCACTGTATCCCATTACCCAACATAAAATTTGGCAGTGGAGCTGCCACAGGAGGCTGTTCCTCTGTCCACTTGGCTTCCATCAGCTATTGAATCTATGAGTTACCATCCTGTTACTTCAATTATAGCCCTGCCCTGGAGCCCCTCTCTTTGTCCAGCTGTCTTGCACCACCCATCCCCAAGGGCAATGGGAGAAAATAGGTAAACCAGCTCTCTAAGCCAATGCAACAAAGCGATGATTAAGCATAGCCTTGAAGCAGGGATTATCTGTGTAGCTGAAGAGAGAATAGTAGCAAGACTTCAGACCCTTGGGGCTGGTGCAAGGCAGCCAAGGTGGCTACATCCAAGCAGATGGGTTTAGCTGTAGGGACACAGATAATGGAGATTGCAGTCAGCATTAAACTAAGTATAAATGCAGACTGAGCCATGCTTCAGTGGCAGTGTGCAGTGTTGTGTAGATGGGTGCAGCACCTGATAACCCCTCCAGTTTACTGTTCTCTGTCCCGTATTTCACATGTCACTGTAAGGACGTAAGATGCTCCAGGACAGTTTGGATGGATTCAGACGAGAGATCTCAGTTGGTTGCTCTTAGAATATCAGGTTTATTGGGGATGGTGAAAGGTCCCGCCTGGAGCTGCCAGACACAGTACGTGGCAGGGCCTTAGGTGATGGGGGAGGGGAGAGACAAAGGGAAGAGCAGGGAGTTCCAAGAGGGGGGGAATCCAAGAGGAGGGAGGAAGTTCCAAGAGAGCGTCTGGCCCCTCGGAGACCCCTTATCAAGGGGGGCTCCAAGGTGGGCTGGAACAGGACTTGGGCCAATGGGGTCACAGACACCTGATGGTTCAGGGGAGGGTTACAGATGTGGGGTGAACCATACATTCTGGGGGGTGAGATGGAACAGTCCATTTGGCTTTTGGACCCCTCTGTAGGTGAGGTTATTGTCCAGCCAGTAGGGGGCATTTTTTTCATCCTGGCTGTACTATTGTGATTCTTCTGCTAGACAATCATATTTATCTATCCTTCCCAACATGTCACCTTCCTCAGTATCATTTTCCTTTATTCCAAGGCAGTAGAGATTAGTTTCTTCTGATGTAGGGGCTTATAAAAATGTTAATGCACTCTTCATCCAGTCCTGCATGATGGTTCTTGCTCTTTGGTTTTTTGCTTTGATCACTTTTTTCCACTTGCTTAATAAATTCTTGCACTATTGCTATGTATGTAATTATTTATTCTTTTCAGTAAGAGCTGACATCTGTCTTTCCCTGCAGTTTGCAAAACTGGGAAGCAGCAGACTGCTGGGCAGAAGTTGTGTCAGCAGCAGGAAAGAGGAAGAAATGTTTGCTTCTAGCCCTGGCTCTCCCTGCTTTCTCCTCTGTGGGCATATAATGGAGTCGGTGGGCAATTAGTGAGTCTCTCATGACTTACCTCTCCTGGCTCTGGCTTTTCACTTCCTGTTGCTGGGGAAACTGCAGTCCCAAATCCCTTCCCCTAGGCTCAGTGGTGATGGCAGAGCACTGCAGGGAAGCAGAGTTCTAGGAGATGCACCATCAGAAAGAAGGAGTAACTAGCAGCAAAGCAGGGCTGGACACTAGTAAGGTCACAAAGGGCCTGAGAGCAGCAGGAGCTGCCGTGGCTGTACAGCCCTTTCCCAGGCTGAAATTATCTGACAAGTGCGGACTGTGGTAAAGTATTGATGGTGATGCTCAATTAAGTGCACAAGGGCTAGAAATCTTTCCAGGTGCTGGCTCAGAGAGGCTGCAAAGAAGACACTTTTACAGCACTGGCCCTCAGGCGCCTTCATCCCGGCTCAAACCTCTGTCTCCATCTCTGGAATGTGGTAAGTAGGTGGGGGCTTTGCTTTGGAACCACTGTAACTTTTCTAATTGCTGCCTCCAAATCTTCCGAAGCTCAAACTGGTTTGCAGCAGAGCAATGGGAATAAAGAACTGCACCACCTCTTTTCGGAGCTTTAACTACTTGTACTCCTTCAGAGGGATTTGAGACTATAAATGTTCTTTTACATGTTTTGTTCTTTTTTACAGTCCTTGGTAATGCTGTGTGATACACTTCCCTTTCTCCCCAAGCTGAACAGAAAACTGAAGCAAATAAAGCAGCCTCTGCCCCATCCTCTTCTGGACTTATGGGGATTTAGCATCCTTTACCAAATGCAGTGGGTGAGGAAAACTACATGCTGAATGAAGGAAAACTCTGCATTTTTACTTGTTTACAAAACTGTTGCATCATGGTTAAGTGAAAACCACGAGCAGCCTGACTGCCACAAGTGTGATGAGTGCCTGGGTGGGAGCTTGAGCTGGTTTTGGAAATCTCCCAGTACCACCAGTAACTGTGCACTGAAACCAGCTGCCACTGCTGCACATCACCTTTTCTGTGAATCAAATGAGAGGGCACATCTGCTTTCTCTGTGTTTATTGCATTACACTGAAGCAAAGCAGCATGTGGTTATTTCCAGTTACTAGCTGATTATTTCACCAAGTCTAAGGAATACAAGCAAAAGCAATTAAATAGGTCAGGACCCAGTTAGCACTGAAGGTAGGCTCAGGCTGTGTGACTGGACCGCTGTGCCATCCACACAGCAAGGCAGCAGTCTCCATCAGCATGGTACATTTTGAGTGCACATGAGCCAGTGAGCTGAGCTCTTGCTTCATGTGGGAACTCAACCCAAGTAACTTCCTGGGCATAACACAGTGAAATCCATACCCTGGAGATGTTCATCCCTGCTCACAGGGGTCCAGTAGTGACCACACCCAGTGTTGTCATCCCTTGTGCTGAAAGCTGCTCTGAGAAACCAAGGTTGGGTGACTCTTCTGGCTTATGCAAGATGGGACTTTCCTCATGTCTCTCACAGATGTTATTCCCATACACCACTTCCCCCTTGTTTAAGTTCAAACGCAAAACAATACTCAGGCTTAAGTAATGACCTCTACCAAGATTCTGGAGATGCTTCAAAATGGTCTCTTTCCTGTCATTCATGAGGATAGAGAGGTGGTAGGTGAGCCAAAGATCTGCTGGTGCTGCTGGCAGCAGTAAGTCTTTCTTTTAGGAATAGAAAGCTTAAAGTCACCATCTTAAAATGTAGTCTTCAAGGACAGTGGCCAGAGGAACCCACCTGAAACACTGGAACTGCACAGTGTATCAGGATTTGTTGGTTGACTTTGATGTACTGCAGGTTTTGTTTAGCTGTAGAAACTCAGTTTGCTAAGGAAATTATTGACATTGATATCTATATTATATAAGCCTTTTTTCTTGCCTTATTTTACTTTTAATTTTTCCAGCTGCGGCTGGGGGCTGAAAAGCAGCAAATCAGTGCTGGTAAGTTGTTTGAAAAGCCTGGAGGGTGCACATCCTCACCAGCCCTCCTCTTTGTAGATATTGTTCAGGTGGGTACAGATTTCATTGGTCACCTTCTCAAAGGAAGCTTTGCAGTCTCCACCAAATTTCTCCTCCATCAGTTGTAAGATAATGTCACAGATAATCTAAACAAAGAGAAGGGAAGAAACAACCAGTGTGAACTTCTCTCCATATTAGAGGCATAAGAACTTACATATCTTTAGTTGGGATTCTTGGAGGGGTACAAGAACAATTCACAGCACATGATCTGCAGAGCTTGCAACAGGGCGTGGAAAATAAGCTGCATTATAGAATTCACAAAAAACTGCTGCTGGTGTTTTTAACTACCCTAGTTAATGTTGACGGCACCTATAACTTAAGGATGTCTGTATAGGACTGATGTGCATTATCCATCCACTACAATCCTTCTCCAGGCAGGGGAGTGTCCCAAATATTTAGAGGCCATGATGAGCCCTTTGTTGGACACCTATGGAATACATGGCTTAGGGAGTAGGTTTTTCCCATATCTTTCCTGCTCATTAGTTATCCAGCACTCTGTAGCAGAGTTCTTACAGTCAGGTAGGTGGTATACTTTGAAATGCCACTCCTTTCCTGTGCAGCATTTATTGTTTTGTGTGCATTTTTACCCTGAAAAAGTATTTTCAGCCAGAAATCATCCCTTATTTTCCCCACTCATTGAAACTTGGGCCCACTGCTTTTGAAATCACCTTTGTTTGGAAATAATCTTTGCCAGAAGGTGCCCCTTTTTCCTGTGTGAAGCAGACAAAATAGTTATAAATGCACTCTGCTAGTGACCTTAGATGGATCTGGGTAAGTAATTTGATCCTGTATTTATTATTTGAGTTTGTTTAATTATGACAATGCTGTTGTCATTGTTGCTCAATAACAGCAGGAAAACAGCTTAGTTGTCCTGGAAAAGCTCAGCTCCTGTTACAAGATAAAAAATACATCAGGGACTGAAGTCCAGTGCTAAACTACTTTTCTGTATCTTGTTATTAAATGGCAGGTGTGGGAATCGTATTGCACCGAGAAAACCCTCTACAGCTCATGGGCATCTGTGCAGCTCCCACCACCACTATCACCTGCCTGCACCACATCAGCTGTACAGCCATCTTCCCCACTGATGCCAGATCTCTCACTCCTTCCATCTTCCACCATCAACCATCTCACCTTCCCCCACCTCCATTCTCTGAGGCATATATATGTATTCCTACATACAAAGCCTGTGTTCCTCAGTTGTAGCCCTCAAAGGGGAAAACATGCCCTCCTCACAATTACGCCCTTTGGGAAGAGGGCTGCTCACTCACCCTAAAGTTTTTGGGGTCAATCTTCAGCTGGGTGGCATGTTTCTTGCCAAGTGGGGTCACTATCCCAAGAAAGGCCTCAGAGTTGTCCAGGTGTTGCACCATGTCATTGATGGCACCGAAAACCTTCTTGCCATGGCCCCTGACTTGATCTGACTGTTTCATCTCTTCGGCAGAGTCCATGCCTTTGAAATGTGGGAAGTAGGACTTGGTGTCTGGGTGCTCAGTAAACATCCTGTTGAGCAATGAGAGACATCCTGACTTGTGGACCAAGGTATCAATGCAGACATAGCCACGCATTCCAGGCCTTGCCTTCTGCATTTATGTCCCTTTTCCCCTTCTCTTTATGAGAACAGACACTTCTGCATTCTTCGTTTCTCCTTTGCCTTTTGTGCCTGTGCATAACTCCCATGCACATGGCAGCCAGTTGTCTCTCCCTTGCCTCTCCCCGGAGCATTTACTTTGTTCATTCTATATATAGACATATAATGAACTTTTTCCACTCCTTCCAAATATAATATTTTCTCAGTGTTACTTTCACAAAGAAGTGGGACTACATTCACATGGGGTGGTTGTGACAGTTTAATATTCCCAAAGATGTTCTGGACAGCAGATACGACCGCTGTGATACCGGTGGGTGTTTTCATAGAGAAGCCCTACTATTGGTTTTGTTAATTAACCCCTTCCTGTAGTCCACTGCAAAGCTTTCTTACTGCCTGTGATGGATAGTTGTTTGAGTATGGGGTACTGCTCATTCCATTTATTCAAAAGTAACACAATTCAGTGTGTTTGAAATTACCTTGGATCAATTACAGTCATCTTGGTCAAACTCTTTTAAAAAAAGCAGTTTGCTCCTTTGGGTAAGCGGGTTATCCACCTGAAATATCCATAGAAAATTCCACATTGCATTTCACAGAGTCACAAATTGGTTAGGCTTGAAGGAACCTCTGGAAGTCATCTGGATCAATACCACTGGTCAAGCCAGTTGCCCAGGACCATGTTCAGATGGCTTTTGAGTATCTCCATGTATGGAGACTCAACAACTTCTTTGGGCAATTTGTGCCAGTGCTCAGTTGCACTCAGAAGTAAAAAAAAAAAAATCTTTCCTGATGTTCAAGGGAACCTCCTGTGTTTCACTTTGGGCCCATTGACTCTGGTCCTGTCTCATGGCACCAGTGAGACAAGCCTGGCTCTGCCTTCTTTGCACTCTCCCTTCATGTTTTTATGTACACATTGACAAGATTCCCCTGAGCTTTTGCTTCTCCAGGCTGAACAGTCATAGCTTTCTCTGCCTTTCTTTATAGGAGAGGTACTACAGTCCCCTCATCATCTTCCGGGCCCTTTGTTGGACTCTTTCCATAATGGCCATCTCTCGTCTTGGGAAGCCCCAAACTCTCTATAGGCAGGTCTGGGGCTGCAGGACACTAAAGCAAAACCTTCTAGAGTAAATTACCCAGGGAGGCAAGCTACTGGATGCTACTAACATTTTATGGCTACGTTTCTGACCCTGTCTTTAGATTGTGTTGCCTGCAGAAGGAAAGAGCAGCATGTAAGGCTTCATGAGGGTAATCCAGGCACAAGGTGTGATATACAAGAAAGCTGGAGGGAGGGGTAAATGTCTGATAACTAGAAATAGTATTTGAACCAATCCATGCTTATGGAAGTGATGTAAGTCCCAGATGAATATGTGAAAGGTAAACAAAAGAGAGGCAAACAGGATGGAAACTAAGAAAAGAAAGTCCACAGAAAGGGTATAATACAGTGGAACACATGGACTGAGGCTGAAGGAGAATCAGAAGTGAAATACTGAGTTTAAAAAAAGCATTTAAAGAGTTTAGAGGTAAAGAGGAAGAGGGAAATAATATCCATGTTTTATTCCCATTCTCTTTCGTACCACACTTTCTTTTCTTTAACTTACATGGGTGAAGATATTGTTCTTGTCTTTTCTTCTTTTCCCACCCCCTTACCCCTTTTCTTTTTATTTTTCCTTGTGTGGATTGCTCCTCTTCCCCAGCAAGGGCTGCATGAAAAACATCATGGCATGCTCCTAGGCAGTAACTCCATCCTTGCTGTTCCTCCTTCACCCCTCTGGGGCAGCAGTTGGATGGGCTCTTTCCTTACCTGACCAGCACAGCTGTCCCATTGTCCTCAGCATCCACATATATCTTCTCCCAGGCACCACGGGCACTTTGCACCTCTGCTTCAGAAAGTGACATGGTGGAGGAGATGTTGGCAACAGAGGGTGCAGCAGGAGGGAGAAGGACAGGGAGGTCCTGGCAGAGTCTTTCTGCTCCAGTTCTTTCCTCAGGGCTCTCTAAATACTGCCCTGGGGATTTAAGAGATCTTGAAGGGTCTCTTTGTCTCTGTTACCCTCAGTAACATTTCTGCAGGTTTTAGAGCTACCTAATCACTTTTAATCAGGAAAGAAACCAACCACATGAGGAGAAGGACTAGCTCTGTACTCATAGGTCAGGGGCCAAAGCAAAGGTCTCACTGTCTGAGGAGAGAAAGGAAAAAAGGCAGTTTTCAGTGGAGAAAAAAAAGCTAAATTCTCTTCCCCTCTCATCCCTGCCAAAGCCAGTGCTTGGCTTCTTTTCCTGAAGGTGATCCTTGCCTGAGCACTGATTTTCCTGGTTTTCTCCCAAGAGTGCTGCTGTGCTGAGGGCACTGTGGTGCCCTGCCCTCCCTTCTCCTTGGCAGTCTTTGGTCTTTCAGTCAAAGGTCCTGTTTCTATCTCTAGCAATCCTCTCCAGTCCTGCCTTCATGCCACGGTCTCTGCTTTCCCCACAGCTCTGGTTTGACAGGGGCTCACCCCACAGCTGCTCCCAGCCCTGGTTCCATGAGGGTAGGATGCTTTGCCAGCCCAAAATGACAGCATTGCAGGGATGGTGATTGGCAGCGTGGCACAGCATCCTTGGCCATAGTGCCCTGCAAAGCCACTTCATTTTAGCACTGGAGGTAAAGTGTGCAGCACAGCCAGGCCAGGAGTGCGGGCATTTCACTTTCCTAACCCTCTTGGCTTGCAGCTGGGATCTCTGTCCTATCTGTGAGCTCTGACTGCCTAGGAGAGAGATAAGGGGTGGAAGAAGGGCCAGGGTGGAGCTGCAGACAGCATCTCTGGATTTGTTATAGTCTTGGAACTGGAGGCAAAAAGTTTTCATGGATTATCCGTGCAATGCCTGGGCTTAACCTCTGGCAGGAATGTTCTTGTTTAAGTCCAGGGCACGCACGCAAAATAAGGGCTAAGTGGCTTGAGAAACTGCCGCTGGATGCTGCGGGCAGAAAAAACTTCATATTGTTTGGGGTGGTTTAGAGGAGAGAAGGAACAGGTGTGAGGGGAAAATATGCAGCAAGTCAAGAAAAACCAGCCTAATACCCCAGAGCAGAGGGAAAAGTACTGGCTGCAAACTCACAGAGACTGACTGGTCTTGGTGGGGTTGTGTCCCACTGCTGCTGAGGGAGGCCCCAGATGACTTCACTGAAATCTGTCCCCTCTTGCCTCCCTCTTCCATTTTACCACACAGCAAACAAAGAGCAGTCTGATAGAAAGCTGCAAAGCTGTTGTGGGTTCCTCATCCCTGAAAGAGTTCAAGGCCAGGCTAAATGGGGCTTTGAGCTACTTGGTCTAGTGGAAGGTGTCCCTGCCCATGGCAGAGGGGTTGGAACTAGATGATCATTCAAGTCCCTTCCAATCCAAAATGTTCTATTCCCTAGTAGACTTCTTCTCTGCTCTCCCCCATTCTCCTCTGGGATACTGCAGTATAAACATGCCCCATCCCTGGATATGTAGTCAGACATCCTGTCATGGGCCAAAAAATACCTATTTTGAGTTGAGAAATTTCAATCCAGTTACTTTATTGCCAAGTAACAAACCAGCCAACCAACACTTAGATCCCTCACTGCCCCCCGTCCTGTTTCCCCACGCTATGCTGCAGGTTATAGCCAGATCTTTTGGTGAGACCATGGGTGGTGGTGCAGGAGCTGGGGTTGGTGTGTGAGAGTCCCTTGCTCTTGCAGCTTTTTGTGTACTACTCAACTGCTCCAGCATGGGCTCTTCCACTGGTTATCATCCTGTTGGATGCTGTACTTGCCCCGAACTTGTCTCTCCATTTTCAGTGTTCCCTGCCCTTTCTTGAACATGTTTCCATGAAGGCACACTAATCTTACTTGGTTGGCCCAGTTCTGGGGTGCAGTGTGACAATTTTTTCTGCAACCAAGCCAGGGCACTCCCTGACCAGACAAAACAATGACATCTTCCCTCAAGCATGTCACCATGCTCTCTCTCTGACATGCTTTTCTATTCTTCCATACTCTTGTGCTACTTTTACTGTTTTGGAAAATTATCTTCTATTTTCCCCCTGCATGATTTGCCAAGTCCTTGTAAAATGAAGTTTTACTCATAAAGTTTTGACATCTCAAACAGGGCTATATACATTTATGCCACATCTCAGCAATCTCTAGCAATTGAAACAACAAAGCTCCAGAAACACATTTATTTTGGCCTGGAAATGGAAAAGCTATGAAAAATGTGCTGTTTAATCATGAAGTCATTGCTGACACCTCCCCACAGGTGGGCAAGAGGATGAGTGCTTAGTTTATTTCTTTTTCCTCTCCCGTTGTTTGTTTTGTTTATTATGCCAAAGGAAGTGAATCCTCTCAAGCATAATTTCTATTGCATGAAGAGACATATTTTCTAACAGGGGTGAAGCTCCTCTGAATGTTATCCTTAAAGAAAGGAATCCTTGTGTGCAAGAGCAAATCAACACATTGAGTCAAGATATTATTTTATTACAAATCTGAAGAATAGGGTGCCAAGCAAGGCCTTTTCCAACCTTCTGGAAAGCAAGCAGAGTCCTTTTTACAAAAAGGTAACCAAAAAAGAATCATATGAAAACAGGAAATTGGTCACTCATGCTTGTGTAACAAAATTTTTAATGTGCATGTGCTGATCTCAGTCCAGTTCATTATCTTGTCATTTCCACATACAAATTCCCTTGGGGATGTGTTCTTTAACATATAATTATCTAAGGTAACTTGAGGTTGTTTTATATCTTATCACCTGTTGCTAAGTTATTATTTAATCTTATGTTGTAAACCTCTGTTGCAGTTTCTGCTTGAATCTATTTGAACCATTACTTGCCAAAGACAAGGATTTGTAGCATTCTGTTCCTACCTAGGGTCTCTTCACAGTTCCATTGCTCCAGCACCCCCCTGTCATGGTTTCTAGGCTAACTTATAGCTACTGTGAATTTTTTGTGAATCTTTACTTTCTTCTGACATCAAGCAAGCAGGGTGAGCCACATGGCACTGGGAAATCTGGAGCAGAAAGCACAGCCGTGGTGTCTGGGCTGTGGCAAAGCTGTTCCTTTCTCTATCCCCAGCCAGGCGAGAAGAGGATTTGCCTCCAACTTAGCTGCCAGGAAGTGGTGTCAGTACTGCAGAGTGGGGGTTGCTTTCTCTCAGTTTCCAAGAAATCATGTGCTTTAGGCAGAAGGCAGCTGGAAAGATGCAGCAACAGAAATGGGTAGCACCTTCTACTCACCCAGCCATTTAGGATCCAGCAGCCATCACATCTCTAGAGCTCATTGATGTCCTGGTTACAGGCACTGCAAACCTCAGTGTTTTTCCTTATCCTTGAAACTTGGAGATCTGTGATTCTGTGATTTTTAGCATAAACAACCTATTTGTTGTTCAGTGGGGTTAATCCCCAGTTCAGCAGACACAGCTGTCTCAGAGGATGGCTGCAAGGGACTCAGCAGGTGTAACTCTTATTTTCCCAACACCTGTGGTAGTGTCAGGCTGAGGGTAGAGCCCCCCCATATTGCCAGGTTTCAGGGATGCTTAGCCCAAGACCCTGACACTCAGTGCTGCTTTCACAGAAAGGACACACATCTGCATCTGCTCATGCTCAGTGTCTGAGGTTATCAACATAATCAGTTCATCAAAACAAGCAAAACCAGGAGCTGCAGTCACCACTGTCGGTGTCACTGTCTGAATCCCAAAGCCCACCTAGCACATGGGTGGGAAAGGCTTTCCCCGCTGCCACTTTCCCAGACTGCACTTCTCTTCCCATTCCAGGGCCTTGGTGAGCTCTGGTGGAGCCATGTTGGGCTTTCCACTGGTGAAAATACCAAATGCAAAGGGTAAGAAAAAAGCAGGATTACTCAGCTTCTTGGGACCTAGCCCCCAGAATAGCCTGTATGAAAAGTACAGAGTGGTACCACCCAACATAGTAGAAATGCACACAGGTGTCTGTTGTGAATATTTTTATTGCATGCTTAACATTTTAAATGTGAAAGCAAAGATAGAAATTTCAAAATCGTTCCACTTTTATATATCATAGGGCATAGCATATATGCAGGTTAGTCCTCTGAATGCTGCTCTCATGATTAACAACATTCAGCAGTGACTCTAATGTGATCATTCAACTAATAAGGATGGCAGTGCTGAGTTTTCTTGCACTTGATCCAGCTAACCAAGAATTTGCATTGGTGGAGGCTGGTGTTCAGCAGAGAAACTTTATATCCTTAGTAAAGGGGAAGAAAGCCAACTCCACAAACCCCACCCCACCCTGAACCATCAGTGTGCTATCAGCATCATTCTGGACCCAAACTACCCACCAACATAAAGGTTTCAATGAAGAAAATTAACTCCACCTCAGCCATACCCAGCACACTGCAGGACTGCATCCTTTTTGTGGACAAATGTAGGCCCATGAAGCCTTCACAGTGTTCAACTTTTGCACAGGTGCTGCAAGCAGGAGTAAAGAAATCAGTTTTTAGAGATATAGAAAATATCCTGCCCAAATCAGAGATGCAGAGTGCCCAGAGCTGGACAGAGGCATCAGGCAGCAGCATATGCACCATTCATGTCTAATGTTACAATCTGGCATTCATATCTGCCCAATTAATGAGACTGAACCACCCAATAATTTAAAATGGAAACAACATTCGCACAGGTTTGGACAGAAACCCCTAGACTTCACTCAACTCCCTTGTATGGGACACTGGAGCTTTAATGACATAGAGTTTATAGAAATTACATTCTGAAGAAAGTAGAAATCCACTGAATGTCACCCCTAGCAGAATTAAACCTAGACTTCAGATAAAGTGACCTGATGTCAGAGAAAGAGAAGATGTAGCTGCAAGAAGACATCAGACTAAAATAAACAGCTATGGGCCGCTTTATGTGTAAGTTAGACACCAGTCCAGAGGTTTTCCATCTGTGACAGGTAGGTCACAGATGATTGTATTGGTGGTATGGACTATTGTGTTCAAAGATGCAAGCTAAAAGGGCGTGAGATAAAGCAGCAGAAAAACCTGCTGTCAGATACAAGAGAAAATGAGGTGTTGGACTGAAAGGGTGGTTGGTGAGGAATGGAAGGAACCAGAGAATCAGACCAGTAGTTTTCCTGTGTAAATAGAAAGTTGAATGATGGATTTACTGGTCCAATTGTCTCCTCTACTGCAGAAGTCATAGAACTATTAGAATTATAATGGTTGGAAAAGGCATCTAAGATGTGTTCAATATGATGAGTAATTACAAGATAAGAAATCCATTATAACTGTCCGACTTTCTTGGGAAGTAACATCAGTACATGTGGCTTTAAATTCAGTGAGCCCAAATCTAATCTCCAAATTTAGCCTGCGATTTTTCCCCAGCGATGTGTCTGGTGACGGCACTACACAGGAACCAAGCTGTTCCATCCCTTCCTCATCCACATACTGAGCATTCTGTTTTTTTGTACAATAGAAAGCAAAGATTACCTTTGTTTGATCTGGTTCTAGTGGAAAGAAATCATAGTGGGCAGCTTCATGTATGTTCACTGACTCCCCAATTTCCACCAGTTTCTCGAAGATATCTGTGCAATAAATATAGTCACCACTTTTTGAGACCCTCCGTTTACGGGCATCATGGATAGCACTATCAAATTTCTCACATACAGACAAGCCATATGTCCTACAGCTGATTCTTGAGGTAATGATGTGTGGATTAACTCCAAATAAAACAGCCCCTTTTACAATGGCTGCCTGGGCCTCCATGGGACAAAGGATATGATACTTGCTGCTAAAGGCCTGCCTGACTGCATCTCTCAGGATAATGCTGGATGCAAAGCCTCCCACAAGTAAAATGTACTGGACTTTGTCCATCTCAGGTTTGCAAAGAATTTCCCTCAAAGCACAAATGATATTGTTGATACTGTAGTCAAAGAAGCTCTTCATTTTCTCATATGTAATCATGATTGTCCCATTACACCACACAGTTCCTGGTACTTTTTCAAAGAACTGGGAGATGTCCTTCTTGGACCCTGCCACTCTGGTCAGGTTGTAGTAGCAATGTATGTAGACTGCCTCCCTGCTAGCAGAGCATTTCTGTAGGCTGAAGTTGTACATCATATTTTGTAATTCAGTAGGGTGCTTCTTCACATATTCATCCCATACGCCATCACTGAATATTTCCTTGAGGAAATTGATGAAGTTTTCATCCACTCTGTTGCCTCCCCATCCACCTCCAGTTGCCTTATGTAGCTCCTTTAGGTAATGGTTTTGTTGGATCTCGTGTACTGTGATGTCTACAGTGCCACCTACACATGCAAACACACACATAGAGATAGAGACTCAAATTAATTGTGCTGTTTGCTTTAAAGTACATGAGCTTCCACAGAATTTAATCTTATCTGCTGAATTCCTGACTGACATATGTGCTTTTCTGCCACTTTCTTTCCTTATCCTCACTCTTCTGCTATTGCCTGTACTTCTCTAGATTTCTTAAATTTATGCACTTTTGTTTAAAAGTCTGGTCTCGCAAGGCTCCTACAGTTATTTCTGTATAATAACTGAGCTGGATGCTCCGGCTTGCTCACTGAACAAGCCAATCTCCTGTCTGATCACAAACCAAGCCTGGGCTCCTCACATAGGTGATTGAATCCTGAGCAGTGTTGAGAAGACTCTCAGCAACTTGTGGTCCTCTTGATGCCTTTTCAGTATTTGTTCGCAACAACCAGACTGCTCTTGGCAGAAAATTCACATCACACCAAAAAACCTAAGGAATCTAGAGATATTACTGAGAAGTGCTTCATCAAATATTCTTAATTATATTCTCTCCAGTGCCTGCTAGCTCTTCTCTTTGGTCACTTCACTGGGCACTAACTACAGTTGCTTCTGGAGAGGAGGCTACGAGCTGAGGCTACACAAGAGCACGTGGTGCGTGCTGGTGGCTGATGCTGGGACACTGTGCCAGCTGATCTGGTGAGAAGGCACGAGACAGAGTAAAAATTTAACAGGGTAGAAATCCATTTGGATTTAGGTAAAATGTGCCACTTTAAGCTTGCAAAATACGCTGTTTAGTCTCATGACTGCAGCCCTAGCAGAACTACCCCAGCTAAGGAGAAAGAATGCAAATTTCCACACTAAAAGATAAGAGATAAGAAAGACTCCTTAGACTTTAAAACAGACAGGGCAGAGTGACCCAAGAGTCCTTTCTGTACTTTCTAACAAAAACTGAGTACAAGTGGAACTAGCTGTAAGTGTAATGTAAAATCAGCAGAATGAATATGCATTAACCTATTGTGAAATTCTATACATATAGAAATTAGTAAGAGTAATAAAAAAGGATCAAGAGTTCTCAGAGTTACACATGTACATTAAAGGGCAATGAGTCCTGACATGCGTCCACAGCACTGTGAATAAACATACCCATTCCCTACAAATCTTTATTAAAATTGTGAGGTTTAATTTTTATCTGCATTTCAGGCAGGGCCTCGTGTTATGACTGTCTGGCCTGAAGAGCACTGCAGTGTGAGACACAATCCTTTTCTTTCCTCCTATTTTTCTTCCTGCTCACAGCATCTCATTAGATGAGAAATAACACTAAAAAAAACCATGACAAGCACAGCAGTGGAATCCAAGCTCTGGAATCTTTGGCCATATTGTGAAATAGCCGTGCACCATGCCCAGCAAAAATGGTACCTGTTAAACAGGGAAAATTTTACCTCCACAGTCAACGACAATATACTGGATCCCAGGGGAGTCTTCAAACTTCTTCTTGTCACTGCTGTCTGCCATAAACCCTTCATGTGGAAGCTGCTTGCACCACAACGATGCAGCCTCTGGCTCCAAGGCAATGATCAGGTTCCTAGAGAGCATGTCAGAGATCATTCCTGCCTAAAATGACAAAAGAGAGGAGTCAGGTCAAGGAAAGGGGTGAGATAACTGCTGCATGACCATCACCTGCTAGAGACACTGTTCTCACCCCAGCAGTTCATGCAGGGGTGGTGGTTCTTGCACCGCTGGTCTCTGTGGGGCTCATTTCTACCTGGTGAGGAGAAAGGGCAGAGCTGTTGTACTGCCATTTGGTGACATACTCTCCCTTACCACCCTCAATGTGGAAGATTTCTCTGCCCAACGACTGAAATTTGAAATAATTGTTGTTTAGATATTGAGGCGTTCCTGTGGCTCAATTGGACAAAGAAACCTTCAAAGGTAATTTGAGGAAATGGGGTAGCCCTTCTTTTACCTCTTTTGCTGCCAGACGCATGAACTGCTTGGCAGCAGCATTCCATATGGCTGGGACAGTAATGACCCAGGTGATCTCCTCCTCGCTGTAGACGGTTTGGAAAGAGGCTTCCTTAATGGTGTTCAAAGCATGATCCTTCATGTAGCGCAGGCTTTCGGAAAAGACTGTCAAGGCAGGAAGGAACTTTCCATTGGTGGCTTTCAGCTTCATGCCAAGTGTGACATTCTACTGAAAAAAAGGCCCAGAGTCACATGGTGCAGTGTCAGTATGAGACCTGTCCCCTTCACACCAAGCACTGCACCACATAAGGCACCCAGACACCCCTGTCTCCAAACCAAACTCCCAGCACTGGCTTCACCACTGTGGCTGAGTCTAAGTGCCACAGGTCAGCTACCAAACTGCTTACCCACCACACCTGTGATTCAGTACGTAAAATGTCAATGGGGTTGATAATTCAGCTGTTTATCCTAGGCCAAATTTTGTAAAGACTCTGTAGATCCTATAGATTCCTGAACAGCCAGTAGGGAGTGGTTCTGTAATGAAATTTTTCTTCACCAGTTGCTCCTGAGCAACTGGTGAAGAAAACCTATTTCCAGAGAAATAGTTCTGAACTAAAAGCTCTCTCCAGCCCCTGCTGAAAATGAATGAGAATCAACCAACTCCAGAGGTGACATTGTGACAGACCACATCATTCCCAGCTGTCCTGGGGAGGAAAATCTTCAAAGAGGCCTCCCATCCACCAAAGAAAGGACCTGAGGTCTTTCCTGGGACTGGCCTTGTGTTCTGCCTTATTCTGTCCTTGAGAGTCCTGTGGGACCCTGGAGCAGACAGGAAGGCCCTAAGGTAGCCTGGTGTTTGGCTGAATAAGCAAACAAGATAAAGCTGTGAACTATTCCAAACCAGCACAGAGCCTTCAGAGAGAAATTTGATAAAGACACTGCTGGCTTCAAGGACAGCTGGACACCCTTACATTCACTTCAGCATAACATTTCAAGAGAGAGAGAGACAAGGGGGAGCTGTATAACATGGGATGAGATCTTAGGTAATCCCGAGACTGCCCATCTCCTTTGATTTATAGGAAATTTCACTTGATCCCTGTTTCTTGTTGAGGACTAAGGTAGAGAGTCAGAGAGAGAGACCAGTTTCTCTGTCAACCTTGCGAACAGGACAGCTTTGTGTTAGAAACAGGTACTTGCTTTCACCCATGTATGCAGTCATATTTTATTGTCTTTAGACAAAAAAGGAAGCTTTTGGCAATTAAAACAATTTTTCTTCTTTTGTTCATCAAAATACTTGTGTTCATTCATTCTCATCAACCAAACTTAGCTTTCTTCATGGGTTCTCTAACCCCCACCCCTCAAATAAATTTAGCCCCGACCCCCATTAGTAGTAACTCTTCCACCTACCGTGTTGTACAGCTGCATCTTGAAGTTCTGGAAGAAGTACCAGCTGTCAGCTTGGCTGGAGGGCAGGCTCTTGTACTTCATCACAGCATCATAACCAAAATATTTGAACTCCTGCTTCTGGTTGAACAAGATGCTCGTAGGCATCTTTGGGGTCTTTAACCCATGCTCTACTCCCCAGTAAACCTGGCGGATTTGGTCTGAACCTGAAGCAAGAGAAAAACAGTACCCGCTGTAGGATGTGCCAAAATCTATGGCAACGACAAACACTGACTGGCTGGCCATGGCCACTGCAGTGCAGAGGTGTGCAGTTCTGGGAGCAGAGACGAGCGAACAAATGGGTCTGAACTGAAACTGAAAGGACTGATACTGCAGAGAGAAGGTCACTCTCCCCTGATTTTATTGGCTGGAGAGAGCTGTAACTCTAGATATCCTGTAAATTGTGCCTTTTACTGTAAAGAAACAGGGCTTTCTTCCGCTTTTTCTAGCAGCAAAGTGCTTTGTTAGGGAACTGTCTTATCAGTAGCTTTCTGCACTCCCAGCAGCATCAACAGTCCTCAGGGCTCCCCATACATTTCAACAAACATTTTCTGCTGCTGCATGAATACTCGGAAACCTTCTGGCTCCAGCAAAAGGAAAATGTGGGTTGTGGCCAACATTTTTAGCCACAGAAAACCAGAAATGTCGGATACGCCTGATACTTCTGACTCCAGCAAAGAAGAGTGGGTTATACCCAATGGTTCTGGCTCTAACAGAGAAGTGTGTTGTACATCCAACATTTCTGGCTCCAGAGGAAGAGAATCATGGCATACACGCGATGTTTCTGGCAACAGAAGAAGAAAGGCATTGGAAAGACAGTGTGAGGACACTGATCTCAGAAAGACAACTGCAGAAGGCAGCAGGTAGGTTACACAAGGGGTGTCTCTGGATAATCTTATTTAATCTTCCTAGGTCTGAATATTTCTACAAAGTTTCTTGGAGAGTTGCATGAGTGCTGAATTGCAAACAGTTTCTGACTGTGAAATATTCAGTAAGAGCTCTGTTTCCTACTTCCTAACTTTTTTAGCCATCACAGAGATGGTTACTGTCCCCAAATTCAGCTCAACTCCAAAGTGGGAGGCAGATCTTAAATTGGTGCAAGAGGAAGAGAAACTAGAAAGATCAGTATAAAGAGTGTGACAGGATCTGGGATTTCGTGGCTCTGACTCTGAGCTCATCAATTTTGCAGGGATAGGTGGACTAAAATATAAATTTTTTACTGGATTGTTTAGCTTAAAGAAAAAGATTGTGTCTTCAGTGACAGACTGAAAGTGAAGTGATTTAACTGGAAAGGAATCAACCCAAGTAAACAAAAGCAAAATGTGCTTCAGTGGGAAGGAGTAATACTGAGAGGGGCAGCAGAGTCCCATGCAGCAGCTGTTCAGCCTTCTATTGGTATAAAAGAAAGGTAAGGCCTCATGCTGAGGCTTGCTCTGACATCTGGTTCTGGGGATGAGCCTGCTCTCTGCTCCACCTGGATCCAAGCTGCAGGAGCACTTAATCTGGGACTGTTTCTCTAATAATAGTTGATATTTGGGATTCTTGTGAGGAAACAGGACACAGAGCAGTTGTACAAATAAAAAATGACCTTGAGAACACAGATCTTTGTAGCCCTCTGTTAAAAAAGAACCAAAACTGTACATTGCAAAGTTGGTTTTAGCAGAATGGTCACCTGCATTTGATGTTCTCCTACTCTCTGCACATCTGGGCTGAGTTTGTTTTTCAGGAGCTGTCCTTGTAGCTTGCCCACTTTATCCAGACCTAATGATTAGTCAAACCCTCCTGGTTTCAGCATACCCTGGTGTGGGAAATAGTAAAAGTAAGAAGATTTATAGAAAGCTTTAAAAGCAGGCCTTAGAAACAGGAAGAACAGAAAACTTAGACCTAGCTGCAGCTGCAAAGTCTTAAAGTAGAAAAAGTTACAATAGTACAGCAAGCAAGGACATGAAAAAATAGCTTGAGTTTTAGGCTTGGCAAAGGTAGCCTGTGGAGTCCTCTGAGCTCTATCAGGCATTACCTGGGAGAATGCAAACTCACTTGTGCCAAATCTGCACCCGTGTGCCCTTTGTCCTGTCTCTGATCCATTTGCTGGCATGGATGTAGCCATGAAGCCTCTGTTAACAGGACTGGCAATGATAAAGTACTTTTTTCAAGGATGTGTGCTTACCCTGCTTCATTATAGGAATTCCCTTTTCTTCTTTTACTCAGACTTACATCTGACACCTCACAGCAGCCACTAGCCTATGGAGACCAGACTTCTAACATGAAGGAAATGTTAGAAATTATGAAAGAGATGGACAACAAAAAAACAAAGGAAATGTTTGAAATGATAAAAGAGCTCGACAATAAAAAGATGAAGCAAGTGTTTGAAATGATAAAAGAGATGGACAATAAAAAAACACAGGAAATGTTCACAATGGTAAAAGAGATGGACAACAAAAAAACAAAGGAAATGTTTGAAATTATGAAAGAGGTGGACAGCAAGAACACAAAGGAAATAATCGAAAGGATGAAGAATATGGACCAAAAAATAACGTGAGAGTCCGGTGACCAAAAGTTACACTCTTAAGTGTGGCCTCCTACAATGAAATGTAGCTGTGCACACTAGGGCGGGTGGGACAGAAAATGAGCCAGACACAGGGAGGGCTCTGCATTAGCAACAAACTTTGCCCAGGCTATACTGGGAACCCAGAGCCAATTTACAGAAGCTGTTGGATTTGCACCATGTAATGTGCAGATCTTGCACTTTGGGTATTTTATTTGCGCTGTTGGTATTGGCTTACAGAATCACAAACCACACATCTGGCAAAGAACAGCCTTGACAAGTTTTGGTCTCTAAATTTCTTTTCCCTATGGATTGATCAGAAATTAGAGGGAGGAAGTTTAGCTTGTGCATTTTTTAAGACTTTATTGCATACTTGCCCACTGATTGCAATGTGGTTTATTGTTTTTTTCTTTCCTTTATGGATGGATGGACAATGAGAACAGAATTTTGTCTGACACTATTCAGTATCTACTGAACCTTCTGGATAGTCACAACAGGTAATGTGATTCTTTACATTAATAATCAGTGTAAGAGGGGAAAATCATTATGATGCTCACAACCACACCTCCATTTCTTTTGATGTAAATATCTTCCCACTTGATTTGAGCATAAATTCTGGGTGGGAGCTTTTAGGAGAGATGTTCAGCTCCCCTGGAGTTTTCCTGGATGCTCTTGCGCTTTCCCACCACAGAGCTTTTATCCTTGAATACAGATTACTCAATAGGGGCACGTCCACTGTTGTGCCAGTGTCCAAGTACAAATAAAGAGATCTCCCAATTCTGTTTCAGAGAACTTCCTGAAAGGGTAATCCAATTACTGTGTAAGGAGAAAGAGGAAAATGAGATGCTGAAAGAGAAGACAAAAAAGCTACAGGAAAGGTAAGGTATTTATTCATATTTCAGACATAGTTATGTTTCTACACTGAAAAGCCACATACTTCTTGCTTCCTCCAGTCCTTGGGGACTCAGTTTCTGACCAGACAGCCCAGACACCTTCTTTCCATTCTTACAACCTACCAGCATCTCTTTATAACTGACTTGTGGAAGACGGTTTGGGTTGCTCTGCAAAGGGAAGAAGACATTCTTGGGGTAACCAGTTAAATAAAGAGTAAAGGAAGCCAGTCTGCAATGACATTGTCAAGATGCCACTCTGACCAGATTCTACTATGATCATGCAAAACTGAGCTGAGAAAGCACTATTTTCCACAAAAAAAGCTGCTTGCCAGCTATATAATATAAATGAGAAGTGCATTGTAGAAAACATGGGATTCATTAAACAGTTTCATAAGTAAAATATTTACATTTGCTCATTATTTCATCTTGACTTAGATACATTTTTTAATATCCTCCTTGACCTAGAATGCAAGAGATGTTGACTAAAGCAATGGCCACGCACCAACACTCTGAGGACATCAGTGACCCTTCACGTTTGTCTGCAGTGCTGGAGAGATACGAGATGCTCCGGCTACAGGAATGGGAGAAAGTCAGGAGCTCCATGCCCTACCGTTGGACCTATGAAGAGGGCAGCCGCATCATTAGGGTTTGTTCAAGTCCATTTGCTCCATTTGATTCTTGTCACATCAATTATGGTGTAGCCATATAGCAGCCTTTGAGTATTTATATTTCAGAACCAGACAGGGTTGGGGCCTCAGTTTGGGTCTCTGATTTTCCAGCCTAACAGGGCTTGTGGAATGCTGTTGAGACCAAACTGACAGTGACCTTCTTCCTCCTGCCTTTCAGAAGGGCACATTCAAATACTAGTCCCATCTCTCACATGTGTTAAGCACAAGTGGGAAAACAATCCACTTTCCGTATGTTAGTGCTTGAACTGATAGCTGGGTGACCTCGTTTTGATGTCTGACTCACTGCTGTGATGCTGGAGAGGTCTAAAGGAAAATAGCCAAGTGGTATTCCCTTAAAGGACAAGACTGAGATGAGGCCATTACTAGCATTGACTGTGATCATAAGACCCCACAAATGCTGAAGAATGGGCTCCAATACACAAGCAGCTTGATGAAACAGTTTGACAGCTATTGAAGACTGTATTTCAATCAATTAGCAGCCCTACGATTAACTCTAATGCAGAAGTTTTCTCAGCTTTGCACACTACACCTGTGGTTTCATTGTGATTGATGCTGTAATGAGTTGTTATTTTTGCACTGCAGAGGGTGTTTGATGCCTGTGAAAAAGATATACAGAAGAGAGCAGATGACATACTTAAAGTTCTTGACATTCCACCTTCAAATAAGGTAAAAATACCTTTGACCAAGGCTTTTTATGTTTCTGTAAAAGGCCTGTAAAAGGGCCATTGGCACCTGTGATTTCATTTAGAAGTTTGTTTCTGCTAAGGATGCTGCTCAAAATCTGTCAGCAATGACACTGGGGATAACTTCTGAGCTGAGAGGTCTGGGGCCAAGCTCTAGCAACCCTAGGTATGACAGCAGCACTGGATAAAAACCAGGTCTTTCACTCTAAGAGTTAAGCTGTTCCACAGAGAAGCAGGGACCTGGTCTTGAGGATCCTTGTGGGAGCCTTCCAAAATTAAATTACTCTGTGTCCCACAATACAAATTGGGATAAATGATCCCAAAGCCATACACTTGCATATCTGAATTGTCCAGCTGGATGAATCACATATATGAGTGCAGAAAGCATTTTCCAGCCCTGTGTTGCTTTTATGGGACCTTCCTCCAAAGCCTGAAATGAGTGACTTCTCCATTACTGATTGACCCAATATGAGAAACAAAAATTCCCTGTATTTGCCTTACCACATGGTAACAGCCTGCTTTGTTATATGATTGTTCTGTAGGTGATGATGCATGACATAATGAAGCTGCTCAGGCAACAGTATCACCAAAACTCAATGGTTTACAAGAAGATTGTTCAAGTGAGTAAAGATACAGCCCAGGAACTGGGACAATGGTTATTGTTTGTGCAGCTTGTTATTTAAAACATGATAGGTGTCCCTTCTGCATGAAGTTGTTTTCCACTTGTGGCCAGGTTCTTCCAGCCCATATACTCCCAAAATATTCTCAAGTACATGTAACCTTGTAAGGGAAGTACAGCAGGACAGGCAGGGTGATGCCCCTACCAACAAAGGCACAGCCCTACTGGCCCCAAGCAAGGAGTAAAGAGCAAAGAGCCAGTGGTGGTGATCAGGGTCAGCCACAAACCAGTGACCAGCTGGGCAAGCTCACAGTGACCAGCCAGGTCAAGACCAAGCTGTGAAGTTGGTCTGTGGGTCAGAACCAGCAAGACTGGGCACAGGCATCCCAACACCACAGCTCAGTCAGGCACCCAGGCACCACTCAACTCCTGCGTCAACTGGTGGCCAGTCTGTGGTTGAAGATGAAGCTTCTCATAACTCCTTCTCACATCACCCTTTCTGCCAGTTTGGCTGTTATTGCAGGAGCTGAATACAAGGTTATATGGTCATGCTAAATCTGAGTTGACCTTGAACACATGCAGCCAAACCCCTGGGAAGGCAGAGGAAAGCATGCAGAGGCTGTTGATGTGCACAGAGCCCTGACACCTGCTATCCACATGGACAAGTCTCTAGTGGGCTTTTTTTGTGGAAGAGATGACATATATACCACAGATATATGAAACTTCCAAAAAGGAGCTTTCCTCCTTTTGCAGCTTGCTGGGCTTTTCCAAGAGCTTGGTGTTTCCAAACCCCTTGCAGATCTCTCTGTGAGGAAATGGAGACAAGTGCTGGACACTGGCACAATCTAGAAGTCAGGACTTAGTAAATAAAAGAACCTTTAAAGTGACCCTGGGACCCCTGCATTCCCCACTCAAACAGTACCAGCAGCTTTGACAAGTTCTTGAGTGCTTAGTTCCTGTGGAGCAGCTGCACAGAATGAAAGAGGGGAGGCAATATAACAATACATCAGCATAATGAAAACTGTTCTCATTTCATTTTCAGGAAGCTGCCATTCACATAAGAACTGAAAATGAAACACAGTTCCTGATGCAGTGCTGTCAAATTTATTGTCTACTGCTTCTTCAGGACCCACCAGTTAAAGCTGAGTGGAAGATGAACAGAAACCATTTAGAGCACGTGGACAAGAAAGATGAAGTGCACTGGCAAAAAGCATCACTTCTGTGGCCCATAATGAAACGTGGGGAAGAAATTATTGTGAAAGGTGTAGTCTGGGATCAAAGGAAAATGACTTGAGAGTCGGGCTAATTACTTACTTAGCCATAAGAAGATGAAACAGCTGCTATGCGATACTCTGCTTTTCTTTCTCCCATTAATTGCCTACTTTTCAGAGCTAGTAAGTTAGACATCCCCCACATGGGACATCTAGGATAAATCATCATTAACAAACCTGTATTAAAAACTGAAGCTATTCCAATTGTCTCCTCACAAAGGCCACCTGCCTGTTAGCACTCCCCTGCTTTCCCACATCTGTACAATTTACCTTTCCCAAAGTCCTTCAGCTACACACGTGCCACAGCACTGGACCAAAGAAATCTACAAGTTGTATTCCGTGGCATAATGGGGATGCAATGAGGCAAATGCATGTTTATGTTATTTGGTGTGACACAGTATTCTGTGAGCAACTTGAGAATTACCAAATAAAAAAGACTTTAAATTCTGCTGTGTGCCTGCTGTTGGAATGCATGGAATGGAAGCCTCTCTGAGCCTCAGAGAAAGGAATACAGGGATTGAATTGGAACCTTTAGAGAAACTAAAACATATTAAACCACACAGACATGAAGTAGGAGTGTAAATTTTAGTTTTAAGTAAGTAGAAATAGATCTTAAGTGCCTTAAGAAACTGTATTAGCTAGTAAAAAACCCTAAAGTCTAGTTTAAAGTTAAGTAGTGTTACACTTCACAAAATTAACTTAGCTCCAGACATAACAAAAACATAGCAGAACATTGCTTACATTTCTAAATAGAACAGATAGAACTATATGCGTAGATTTTGTGTAAAAACTAACACTAATTTCACACATTAGAATGAAGCTCGGATAGGTGTAGGAAGAATGTTTTAGAATTCTGTTTTTAGCTGATTAGATTATTTATGTATAAATTTATGTATTTACCCCTACAATGGGGAACAAAAAAGGTGATAATTGCTCCTACTAACTACTACGGCTTCTATTCAGAATATCAAGACTCTATACCAGAAAGCTTTTAGCACAAACTTTAAACTCTTCACCTTCAATACTGATGTATTCATACAATAAACAACTTTACAACAACCAACAACTACGCCTATCTCTTTGAAGACCCAAGACCCACTTATAACTCAACACCTGCCAAATACTTTTCTCCAGTTTTTCTTTCTAAACCATCAGTTTCCTTGGCTGCACAAACTCCCTGGGATTTTCTCAATGGGCCCCCAGAAAAATAGGCAAATTTCTGTGCAGTTCTCTGCAAGCAAATTGCTCTGCTTCTCTCAGGAATTTAGTATTCCCTAAACATATTGCAGGTCACTGACAACATGAGCTGGGATCCAGGTGTGTGCAAGAAAACTGGCTTTTAGAAAACGGGAGTATTCTGAGAAACTGACCGTAAAATAACTTCATTGGAAATATCTATTATGGAATAGAAGAAGTGAAGTAAAAAAGCCCCGGGGTTAGTGCAGCTCAGGATACCGTGCTGGGGAAACGGCAGAAGGGGAACAACGAGGGTGCAAAGGGGTCACAAGCGAAGCTCGTGACAGAGCTGCGGGCGGGAGCCAAGCCGCATTTTGGAGAAGCTGAGGCTGTGCCGTGCTGCACAAGGGCGCTTTGAGGGAGGCCAGCAGCACCTCGGCCCGCAGGGAGACCCAGAGCCGTGGAGGGCCCCAGGAGCTCACCGCTGCCCGAGCTGCACAAGGCACCATTTCCCTTTCACTCTTGGCGTGATTTTAAACGGTGTAATTGCTCCCTCAGAAGAACAGAAAAGGAATTGCTTCCTGCAGACACGCGAAGTATTTATCAGGCAAGGATGGTGGTTTGTTTCTAAGCCTCGTTAAGACCAGTCAGGGAGCAGAGCAAAAAGAGACAAACACAGGCGAAGGAATATCTGATCTCCACTCCGGTCGGAATTTCTGCTTGCGTTGCGCCCACGTGGGGCCCCGTCTCTGTCCCGCCTCCGGGGCCCCGGGAGCAGCGCGGAACGCCCCGGCCGCGGCAGTTCTGTCCTTGGCACTCGGGGCACGGGAGTCGGGCAGATCACGGCACCCGGGCATCCCGCGAAGTAAGCGGGGCACCCAGGGGCGACCTGTACCCGCGCAAAAATTCCTCTCACATTCGGAGTGAGGACCCGGGCGTCACCCCGGGTCGTTATTTTCCTTACTCATAAGTTTAAGGCATAACCTACAGCTCGCCGAGCCGCGGAGACACCGCTCCGCACTGACTCCATAGGTCAGGGCGAGCGCCGCCGACGCGGCTTTTAGCTGGTCTATAGTGTCCTCACCGCTGCGCCCGGTTCTTGCCCCGTTTCGCGCCGCGGAACCGCCACCGCGGGCCGAACCGGGCCGTGCCGTGCCGCGCCGTATGCAAATGAGAGGCCCGGGGACCGCGGGGAGTTGTGGGGCGCCCCGTCGCAGCGGGCGGAGCCGGGGCGGGGCCCACCGTACTTCTGGGGGCGGGGCGAGGAGCGGAAGTCGCACGGTGTCACCTCCGGGACTCTCTCGCTGCGTCTCATCGTTGGGGCCGCGATAAGATGGCGGACCTGTCTCTGGACGAGCTCATACGGAAACGCGGTGTGACGGTGAAGGGGAGGTGAGCGGCCGGGATGGCGACGCAGCGCCTCGGGCCGGCGGCCCCCGGCCGCTCTTCGGGAGTCCCTGCGGAGGCTCCGCTCCGGGGGCTGCGGGCCGCGGCTGTCTCGGCGCGGCCCGGCCCTGCTCCCGCCCTCGCGCTTCCATTGGCTGAGCCGCGGGCCTGCGGGACCGCGCTGCTATGCGATTGGCGGCGGCGGCTGTCACTCAGGGCCGGGGCGGGGGTCGGGCCCCATCGCGGCCCCTGTGCCTGGCGCTGCCCCGGTGGGGCAGGAGCGCTGCCGACCCGTCCCCTCTCGGTCTCCTCGGGATTCCTGGCGTCGTCCCATGTCTCACTGAGCCCTCCGACTCGCCCTGCCCACGCTGCCTCCTGCTTGTCCCCACCGATTAACCCAGCGCTGCTCCCCGTAACGGGGTGGGCGCCCCGAGCGCCGCGGGTGCCCGGGCTGCGGGTGTTACCCGGCAGTGGCCCGGCGTGCCCGGTGCCCCGCGCTGCCGAGAGCGGCTCGGTGCATTGTGGGAGAGCCGTGGGAGGGCTGCGGGTGCTCGGGAAGCCGTAACCGACCGGGGCCGCCGGGCGGACCGGGCTGCCGGGGCTTCGGCCGCAGCGCTGCCCGGGCTTCGGAAGGCGTCGTCCCTCTAGCGTGGCCAGTGGTGCTCCGCCTGGTTGTCTGAAGTAGTTGAGAGGACGTGGAGCATGTTGCAGATCGGAGCTGCAAGGTCAGGTTATTTCTTTGCGTGGCAGATGTCTCCAGCGTAAGCTGGGCCATTTACTGCCACAGTTGGCAGTTCTTACCTGGATTCTCCTTCGGTACCTTTTCATTTTCGCTTTTGCCGTAGCCTCATAATGCTTCTGAAGAACTTGTCCCCAATCTCTGTTAGCTCTGTGTGCTCTTGCTTTGTTGGTTTTCCTTTTCCTGTTTTTTTTTTTTTTTTTAAATTTATTATTCTTCGTTTTTGACTCTGAATGTGTATACACTTACATGTCTAGAGTAATATTCTGTGTTACCTGCTAACATATACTACCAAAACATTCCAACATATTTAAATCCTAGTCTAGACAAAGCCTTAGCTTTGCACTTGCATTCATGTTGTCCTGCATATTTGGAAGAGTCTTAGGCTGCTTACTATGCCCCAAGTACCTCCTTAATCCCTCCTTAACTCTCATTTCTTTCAGGAATTCTTCCTGCCTTTTTTTTTGCTGAACAATAATCCGTCTGCAGCACTGTAAGAGTTGTTGTGCCCCACACTCTTCTTGTGTGTTGTGTTTAGCTCACTTTATAAATTCCTGAGGTAGCAAACTTGGCTTTGTGAAGTCTGGATAAACTGAATACACTTAAATCATTATATTCATGCTGCTCAGTAGTCTAGATGAAATAATAGAAAAAATTTCACTAATGAAATGTACTGGTCCCTAACATAGTCAAGCCAGAGCTTGGAATCCTAGAAAGTGAAATAGATCTTTGAGATCTGCTTTTATTTCAGGTGCTGTGGCACAAATACCTCAGCAGTTAATGTTCTTGTAGGGTAAGCAGTTATCAGTGAAAGAGAGTTGATTATTAGGGTAAAGACAACTCTTCAGAAATGGTGTAATCTTCAGTACAGTTTCTTAACCTATTTCATTTGGTTTTGTCATCAACAGTATTAACTAATTCTGGTTTAAATGTTGATACATACATTTCTGGTTGTACTTTGACCTCTCTCATGAGCCCTTTGCAGTGCTCCTGCTGAATGCTTTCAACATTGCTAAATAAATGCTTTTTAAAATTGCAAGGAAAGTCTTGCTCTGTGGCTGTTGTTTTATGGGTACTGTTAGTCTCCTGTGTCCTGCGTATATTTTCATAGGTAGTCTTAATAATCCTCCTGTTTCTTTTAGCTGGTTTGCTTTGGCTGTATGAGAGAGCAGCCATAGGACTCTTAGATAGGTGATAAAATGGGACTCCAGTCCCAGCTTTCCAGATATCTAGACACAAGAATGAAAGAGGCAGAAGCAGAGGTTAAGTCTTTCATCGTTTGATTGGTTGGGGTTTTGTTTTGAAAGATCTCTTCATTGAAAATACATGACTGTAAATAATGTAAAGGTTGTGGAGTTAGATCAGGAAATACTAATGTAAAGGTCCATGAAGAATTGAAATAGCATCATAATTTGATTTTGTGATTCTAGTTTTTTATTACAACGAATTCCAGGTATCTACTTTTACACTTTATAATACTGGGCAACACATTTCTGAAAGCAGATGAACTTTTTAGCCCTCTGTTTTGACTTTTGGAAAGTCAACAGCAAGAATATTTTTTCTCTCTACTTTGTCTTTTTTTTTTTTTTTTTTAATACGAAAAAGCCCAGTGGAATAAAAAACTTTAAAAATACTCATCAGAGAAACTCCATTTAGATAAACTGTTCTTAGGGCAGATTTTGAAAAAGTGCATCAGACCTGTAATAAGAAGGTAGTTCAGGCTTTTACCCTGTATTGTGCTGCTTTTTATGAATGTTTGTCTACAAGAACAAATGCTGTCGTTTTTGTGGGCTGTTGTCTTTCTGTGCTTAGTATTGTGATAATGTTGTGCTTAAAAAGTAAAGGCCATTAAGTGCAGGAGTTCTTTTAGTAGATTAAAGAAGAGGCAGTTATTTTAAAAAGTAATTTGACTAATGACTATTCTTGCTGGAAGCTAATCAACCTTGAAACTGGTGGCTTTGAATTGGGATTGTTACTGGTGTTTGTACATACTAAAATTCAAGTTGCTGTGCTCCCACAAATTTGAACTTGCTGCCCAGATTTCTTGAAATCTTGTGTAGTTGCATGTTTCCTTCATGTCGGGATGTATTATTGTATAACAGAGGATGCTTTAGCAGACCTGTTCACTCCTAAAGCTAGACAGTCT